TCTTGCACCTCGTCTCTCATCCTCATCCTCATCCGCAGTATAACAGTATGGATGCTGGCTGTGCAATGTGCTGTGTGCACGTATTTGTGTGTGTGAGTGATTGTGCTTTTTTTGCTCTTCTCTACTCTCTACTCGAATTGTCCTTTCCCCGGACCGAAATGCGTCGATATTTTTCGTGGTGGGTTTTCGTATGTGTGCCCAGAAAACATTTACGCATACGATATTATGGCGATTGCATTTTACCTCAACGACGTTGACGGTGACAATGTGCAACAACAAAATGTGAAACGTTGTGAATCGTTTTGAAATTCGTAAATGGTAATTATAATGGCAACTACTTTGCATGCACTACACAGTGCATTGCATCGAAGAACGATGCGCCAGAGGACTGGAGGTATAAAATTGATTTGTATCGTTCAGGACCATCTCGGTGTGCATTTAGTTGTACTTGCTTCCATAATATATTCCATCGAAGAATAAATGCGAGTGGAGTTTGGCGTGATGGAAGGTGGTAGGCTGTTGGTGGTTGGTTAGTAGCGTGCACAGATGAAATCACGGGTCTAAATAATGAACAAACCAAAGGAACATCATGTGCACAATGATACAAGGTAAGCAAAAGAAGAACGGATGGCCAGCGGAATATGTTCACCGCTCTATTTCGATTTCAGTCGGTTGGCTGGTCGACGCGGCTTAATATATTTAGGCCTGTATCCAACACGGTGGCTGATGGTTCACCTCTTCTTGCCTCGCACATCACATGTCTCGTCTCATTTCGTTTCGTCTCTTGCATACGGTGCGCATTTGAAAGCTCGACCGACTAATGACTACGAATGCAGCGATCGCCGTATAATGGGGTTATTTATTTATTTTGCATTGCAAGTTTTAGGCAGTGATACGTTTTAATTCAAACAAATGAACGAAAATACCTCAATTCGGTGTCTTCATCTCCTCCTCCCTCCTTCAACCTTGACCATTTGCCAAGTTCTGGTCAAATTGACATTATTATAATAAATATTTTGTCACTGAAATATAGAAAACATTGAAAAATCACACTTAACCCATGAATCAACGTATTTTCCATATTTTTCGAACGGTCCATTTCTCGAACAGTGAATAATTACGCGCATGTTTTTTTACTAATAAAAATCATTATTTCGCTTCGCTCAACTCGATGCATACATTTTTGTAAGTGATTCAATAAGCCGGTATCCGGATAAAACGCAGAAACGCCAAAACGCAGAAAAAAAACACAGAAAAAAAACGCAGAAAGACAAAACGCAGAAAAAAAAACGCAGAAAAAAAAACGCAGAAAGACAAAACGCAGAAAAAAAAACGCAGAAAGACAAAACGCAGAAAAAAAAACGCAGAAAGACAAAACGCAGAAAAAAAACACAGAAAGACAA